GATCCACACAGTCAAATGCCTTTGCATAGTCAATGAAACACAGATAGACATTCCTCTGGTATTCTCTGCTTTCCGCTAAGATCCATCTAACATCAGCTACAATATCCCTAGTACCACGACCCCTTCTAAACCCAGCCTGGACTTCTAGTAGTTCTCTGCTGATGTGCTGTTCTAGTTGTTTTTGGATAATCTTCAGTAAAACATAAGCACGATCAAGTGTTCTGAGATTCCCATTCTCAGAGTTAGCCACAGTTTGCGAAACAGAGAGAGACATTCCTTTGCTATTCCCTGCTTTGAGCCAAAATCCATCTAACATATGCATCAGGGAGCTGGACAATGACTAGGGATGACAGAAGGAGAATTGATGCTTTCGAGCTGTGGTGTTGGAGAAGAGTATTGAATATACCATGAACTGCTAAGAGAACAAACAAGTGCATCCTGGAAAGGCTTAAACTGGGCTGCTCCTTAGATGCAAGGATTCTGAAGCTCCATCTGACATACTTTGGACATGTTGAAGGAGGGGCCAGTACTTGGACAGGGACGTCATGCTTGGGATAGTGGAGGAACAGCACAAGGCAGGAGGACCCTCCATGAGATGGATTGATTCAATGACTAGGATAATGGGGGTAGGTGTGTCAGAGACAGTAAGATGGGCATAGGATAAAGCAGGATTTAGGGCTGTTTTACATAGGTTTGCTATGAGTCACAGGTGACTCAACAGCACATAACAACAACAACAACAAGATATAGATAAACATACCTTACCAGATATAGTGGGGGACTCTAAATAAAAAACACTTCCCTGTTCTCAGTTGGCTTTCAGTCAAGTAGAAAATAAAACATCCATTGTGCGGTGGGGTGAGGCCAAATAAAATGGAGTCATTACAATAAAATGCCAGTCTTAAACAACCCTTCACAAGAAATGTGTGTGATTAAAATCCATTTCCTTTCATTGGCACCATGATATGAAGTCGGAGGGTTTAAGGTCACTGCTGGCTGGTGTAACCTATACGGAAGAAAGCAGAAAAAAGTCTCAGTTTCTGGCCATCTTTTTGCAAGAAGGGGAAATATTAGGGAATTTGTTTTTTGTTGTTGTTAGGTGCTGTCGAGTTGTAGACGACTTATAGCAACCCTATGAATGAAAGGTCTGAGCACTGTTCATAGAGTTTCCGGAGGCAAGCCATTTCAGAAGTGGAAGCCACTCCTGGTTCCAGGCTTGTTTTAATTGGGAAGCTCCACTAAACACTGTCCACCGTGGGTAACCATTATCACATTTGGCACATTAGTGTCACATTGTTTAGCATCACAGTAGCCATGAGTTACCTCTGTACAGCAATGCACAGACCAGTGCTATACCACCTAGAAGAATGTTTGACAGAAAAACAATTTGAACCAGGCTTGAGGGCCTCAGATTAAAAT